AATTAAATTGGTAGAGTTGTGACTGTTTAAAGTATATATAAATTGGGTGGCTGGGTTAAAAGTGAGGTGGCCGGTCTGTGGGGGTGGCCAGTCTTTGGGTGACGGACGTTAGTGCTTCACAGCATTAGGCCCGTTGACGGGCAGTCTCCACATTTGCACTAGCTTTAGGGTAGTTGAGTTAGACTGGGCACCATCGGCGAACAGCTACCTCGACATGGCATTATTCTCGTCGACATCAGCCTTATTGAAACCTGATCGTCGCACTTAACAGTTCTAAAACCGGTACCGCAATGATCGATCTTAGCACAGACCCTTTCTTAAGCCTCCTGTACTAGCGAGTGTCATGAGTGCCGTTTCATCTGCACCGGCTTCAATTAGAGGGCGATCACTCAGCTCGAATTTGCGGGGAAGTAAATGATGGAACTAATTAGCCTCAGGGTCGGCCATGTTGGATTGGGTTTATGCTACATAGTACGACTTGCTGGAATTGCCACAACTTTACAAACGCTAGAGGACTTGTTAAGAACTTATTTTATCTCACTGAAATCGTTTCGCAAGTGTGTCACGCTGGAAATACTCTTCGCCAAACCCAAGCCAGATTGAGTGGTGTCAAGTCATGAGAGGTACTTCAGCACTCTACCTTAGCTCAGCCATCAGCCGCCAAAGGCTGGATGTACAGTCCAGCTGACATTTAAATCCTGGCCCTCGACTACTCGAGTCCGTTAGTGTCGATTTCAGCACCGGCATAAGCGACAATTCGAGGGATCGCCTCAGGGGATAAAGCCGACTCCTTAGTTTGGAGTCATGGGTCTCGGCACGAGCCGCACCCGATTCGTCTCTATCCTGACTCTGCTACTGTGCAGCGCGGCAAAGCTGAAAGCAGTATCCTCATCGCAATGGAAGATCCCAATCTTTTGGTTGTGCTAACGGCTAGCTGTGGCTTGACGATCCGGTTGCTAGCGGGGAGGGATTATCCTTAGGAAAGCGGGTGACGAACCGAGTCGTTGGGAAGCCAGATGACCTGCGCCATAACCTAATTACGTTTCTTTTCTTTTCTTCGTGTGAATGTTGATAATATGCTGAAGGCGGTGAGAAGAGTGGCTTCGTAGGCGAAATGAAGATGCCACGATACGAGAGGAGTCCTTGAAGACGATGGATAGAGTTTGAGTGATGTCTACCGCTCGAATATGAGGGCTCAAAGAGACTGGATCGCCACGAAATGAATCGATTCGCTACAATGCAATTGGACGCACTCTAGACACTGCTCCCTCAAACTCTCCCTGCTTGACTCGTTCAAAAGTCTCAGCCTCACCACACAACCGCCGATCTCTAGCCACTCACGACCACCAATTGGTTGATGCGCAACCCTTTAATCGATAGGTCACTTATCAGCTAACGCAGAACGTCACTTGGCACGCAGATCTTGTTACCCAATATTCCAAGAAAAGCAGCACATAGAAAAGCAAAGCCACGAGCACGACTCGGAACCTACATCACACAACAGTACGGTTCTTAACCGCTGACGGCAGTGAAGGCGCCTCTTTCGGTCTGGAATCTGCCGACGCGGGGAAAGGCTTGAACTACTTTGGGGATTAGGGGCGAAAGAGGCACTCTTAAGGTTCTCCCCATTGGTTGATGCTACAGTAGACGGTACTTGTTCACACTCAGACATTGCTGATCGAGTTACGTCAATGATACATTATGACCCGACGTGCATGAAGAGGCTTCAGCTAGCATCTCAACAACTCCCAATCATTAGCCTGCCGCTACATATCGCCCTGCATGTGCCCTCGGCCAAATCTTTGCTTTTCTCACCTCTAGTCTATGATGTCCTTCTCTAAATTTCTTTCCCTCTTATGCATCTCCAATTCCTTAACCATGGAAAATATGACCCGAGATATCACGCCCAAATGATTTCCCATCTGACATGCCATGTTAACCCTCCTATCTCCCCACTACAACGCTCAGGAGGTTACAAGAGGCGACCTTATCATCGCCTCGGCGGCGTTCGGCTTCACACTTGGTTTTGGATGGTTGACTGCGTTTAAGGCCATCAGGCAGACCTGGCAGGTGTATCAGCGCCATGGCCGGCGAGTGTTTCGAAATGCGTATATTATAATGGTCTGGGGGGAGTTGACGGTCTGTACGATTTTTATGGTTATTTGTATCTTGCATTTACTGGGCGTTATACCCCCAAGGTTAGTTGTCCCATATTGGGCGATGAGAATGTTTACTGACATTAACTACAGTTTTGCATTTTATTTTACAATTCGTAAGTTTTCAGTCTCTTCAATATGAATTTTACTGACCGCTTCTCAGTTACGACATGGGCTCTTCAGGTACGAATTTCAAAGTCATCCGCGCGAACCGCCAAAATTAACCCTCTCCCGATAGGTCCAATTCCTTCTCCAAATCATCGTCAATCGCTGCGGCATCCTCCTCACCAACAAAAAGAAAGCCTATCGCCTCAAAGTCCTAATCGGCACACTCATAACGGCCGTTAATATTTCTGTCTATTGCATCTGGATTCCGGCGCGATTGCAAGTATCTGAACGATATATCCACATCAATGAGTGGTGGGATCGATGCGAAAAAGTCATCTATCTTATTGTCGATGGCTGTCTGAATTTCTACTTCATCCACATCGTTCGCAAAAATCTGATTATTCACGGCCTTACGAAGTATAAGAGGTTAACGCATTTCAATATGTTTATCATTGGGTTCTCCTTGAGTATGGACGTCCTTATTATTACCATGATGAGTTTACGAAATACCTTTGTGTACGTCCATTGCCTCAGCTCACGAAAAGCATGCTGATTTTCCACAGATATATGCAATTTCACCCACTAGCATACACTGTAAAATTACACATCGAGATGTCAATGGCGGATCTCATCGGCAAGATCGCTCGCGATAAGCATTGTGGCATTATAGCTGAAGGCACATTTTCGAGTAGGGTTAGCAACGGGACATATCATCTAGAGGATGTTCAAGGGTTAGATAGCCAAACGAGGCTAGCAGAACAGGGGGACAGAGGAAGTGTTTCGAAACCCAGACGGATGTTTCGCTCTTATTCACGGCGGACCGGAGAGTATGACAGAGATGACTACCCAGAACCATGTTGATAGCGATATACAATCAGCCAAAATATAACGATACGTTGAATAGAAACTGTGTAGAAGACTCATATTCCTGCAAAGAGCATTCCATGAGGATAAAGTCAATTTTGTTGCCTTTGTCCTCATCTAATAGCCCTAATGAGTAGCCAGCTTTGAGTTCACAACCCTCTATCTAATAAGTCTCGATAGAGTCAATATCCAACTCCTCAGTCCGTCGTCTGATAAGTAGCTTAGCCTGGAGATCAGGCAAATAAGCCATTCCGAAACCCGACGGCTTAGGAACTACGCCATCCGCCAACTTCCAATCATACTTCAACAGCATATGACACAATGCGATCTTGATCTCATTCGCCGCAAAGAATCGCCCAGGGCACGCATGATTGCCATGGCCAAAACCCAGGTGGTCAAAACTGGTGCTAACAAGATGAGGGTGCTTGTCCTGCTCAGATGCCTCCCGCATTCGCAAGAAACGATAGCCGTCGAATTTTGCAGCTTCTTCATAGTAATCGCCGTTCCACATGTGAGTTGTATCGCAGACAATCTTTTCTCCTTTCTTGATCACGTCGCCATTTGGAAGAGTGATGTCTGCCATAGCCTGCCTTCGGAAGGAGCCTTGAAAGTTGGTTAGACGCAAGATGTAGATTGTAGAATACTTGGTGAGCTACTTACCGAGTAGAACTGGTCGTAATCTCTGAGACTCTTTGATGACACTATCCATGAGCTTCAGATTGTATAGGGCTGTCTTCTTGAGTCCCTCTGTAGTCAACACATCCGTGATCTCTTCTCGAAGAGGCTGGAATAAATCAGGATGCTGGGCAATGTTGAAAAGCGTTTCCATAAGCAAATCGGACGTTGTGTGGATAGCCACGAGTGACAATGAGATTTGTAGGAGTGCTGGGTTACGTGTAGAGCCTTCTTTCTTGTACCATTCAATCGAATCGTCGAAAGGCGAGGGCTTTCCCTGTGCTTCAGCCTCTGCTGAGATAACGCTGCGACGTTCAAGATGGGGTTCTAGACATTGGATTGCTTCGTCCAATTTCTTGCGCAGCGTCCAGCAAGATGGAAGAAACCAATGCACAAAGGGTCGTGACCATCGAGGATACGTCCGTAAAATGTCACCTGTCTTGAAGGACTGAACGGTATAGTCACCGCTGGCTCTGACCCATTCGTCGTCGCGGCAGAGGGATTCACCCATGAATACTCGTGATGACATACGCGATACGATACGGACGATATCGTGTTGAGGGTGCATTTCATGCCATTCTACAACGTCCGGCAAAATTAATCTCTGTTCGACCCTGGAGGTATTTGATGAGGATATTTACCAGTGGAGTCCGTAAGAACTTGACGAAAGGCCAGAGATGCTTCCTCCGAGAGTGGTGCCGTGAGCTTGGCTGAGCCAAAAGAGTCAGTATGTCATAGGCCAAGGATAAACAGGAAACCAACTTAAAGATTTGGTCAGGTACTTGGTAACAACTTTCGAAATGTTTGGGTCAGAAACAAAAGGATCAAATCCGGGAACATATGCGTGAGAGTCCTGCTGAATCAGTCACTGCGATTATCGAGCCACTATGAGAAGTGAAACGTACATCTTCGGCAGGAATCGTAAAGTCCAGCTGCTTGTGGCTTTTCAGCGCATCAAGAAACTTTGGTGGAATCACGACCACTTTTCCCCAGTCTGTATAAGCTCTGTACGGTTGGTCCTTGTATAAAGCCCTGCCATTTGTGAGAATATTCTTGCTGTCGGCAATGAAGTCCTGAGTTACACGGTTGCTGGTGAGCTCAAGGGACTTTTTCGGATTCAAGACCGGGAACTTCGTAACATGGCCGAGTAAAGAGCATCTTATGACGAAGAGAGTGAATAAAGTGACGCCGCAAAAGATGGCATACTGGGGGTTGCCCAGGAGGAGATCTAGATAGGACGACATGCGAGATGATTGACAATTGCTGAACTCTTCGACTGTCCTGTCCTGAGCTTGATGAATAGATATTCCTCTCATGGTGTATAAACTTTATACTTCAAGATCCGATATATGATCGACAGAACTGAATCTATATTGGTGTAGATGATCTGCAGTTAGTGCCGCCCGAAGGCCCGAAGCTCATGTGACGGGGACCTTCAAGGGCCCGACCCCGAGGCCACTGCCAACTACCGATGCATCTCAAGCAGATATTTCGTAAAGCCTTGGCGAAATTACTCTCTGAAACAAACACGCTCCGGTTGAATGACTCGGTTCAGTGGGTGATGTAACGGTATCGACGCATATGCATGCAATGCGGTGGAGAGGAGGGCATCTTGATCAGGACAGTTTATATGCACGGGCATGGCCGTTGTGGACCCGTCGTATTCGTTTGGCGACCATCGACCAGTCCCGAGCAGTTTCCTGAATACTCGCTGTTGAGATACGATGATTCATGGCATTGCTTTGCAAATAGTCCCATCTTGGTTGGCCCAGTGCATCAGAATTGTCTCATGTCGGGTTGCAGTCTGCAGCTGGGCGTCTATATAAGCAAGTTCCGCGGACTTCATATGCAGCCCGAGCCATTCACAAATGCCAGTTCTATGGATACTTGTTTGGTGTTGAGACAGAAGGAGCCCGAAGTATTGGAAGCTAGTCTTCTGACTCTTTAGGTGGTCAAGACATATCTGGTGATATGAAGCTTATGATGTAGCTTAGCGAGATATATCAAGATAATGAGGGAAAAGCCGAGTGGCGCCAAGACCGGTAGCTGAGTAGCCAATATCACAGGTCAAGTCCACAGTACCAGGAAAATGATATCAGCCAGTTGAATTCCAAGAACGGCTAATTTACCCCCTCATATTGCCTATACCCATGACTTCATACTGGACCAGGAGAAGCGACACCGGCTTCTGTAACTTTACGGGAAAAAGGAAACGAGCTCTCAAATGCCCCGATCTGCAGTCCTGTGAACCTTATCGAGTTGGTACCCCATCACACCACCGTATTTTATTGGCCTACAAGTTCCTAACTCGGCCTTTCAACTATTTCGACCCCGGGTTAGGGCTTTCAAGATCTTGTTTGCATGGGATTATTGGATCCCCTGCAGTGGGGAGAACGTCTGTTAGCAAAGTTCTTATAGGGTTGATCCTACATACCACAGCTCATGAATCAGGAGCTTGTCTTCTCGTTCTTAAAGACCACACAACTACGGCAGTGACTGCGTAGAGAGACTGTAGTTGGAATAAGCAGGTAGGCTACATAGACTTGAACTGTGTATACTCACCCCGCATATGTAGTAAGGAACGCCTCCTGCGAGGAACGGTAGGCCTTCGTTAATACTCCACTGATAGATCGGGTATAGAACCCCAATCCCGAGCAATGTTCCTGCGCTCTCGATTGATGCCAAGGTCATCATGACAGTTCCTGCATCGGAGCTGCTGAAGCTACACGATGCAAGGGCAATCAGGCTAAGATCAATTGCTACACCGAAAGTATTTATTACAAGGGCTTGGAACTGGTCTCAGAAAGTGATATCTTCGGCTTTTGGGTAAGACAGACCTGTTGTGATGGAACGTAGAGAACCTGATAGACCGATCATGAAGGCGCCAGTCGAAATGAATAGAACGCTGATTCTGGCGACACGAAGATTGATGCTGTTAGGATAAGAGACCCTTGGTGCAGTGCCCAGAACAATGGCTGGTAGGATAATGCCAAAAATCAGAACGCTCATGACACTACGGAGAAGCCACAAAGCCTCTGCCTAGATACAGAATCAAGGTAAGTGATTGTGCGTATGAAATGGATATAGGACTTCATATACATACCTCTGTAGGACTAACATCGTCTCTGTGCTGAATGTAGGTTTTGAAAAGTGGCCGAGTTGATTTACAAATAGCCATGAGGAAAAGTACTTGTGGCAGAAATATTAGACTCGAGCTTCTGATCAGAGACTTCTTGCCAAAGCATCTAGACAAATACTCTGTAACCGATATGCTGAGGGTCTTAAGCTCAACGTCGTTTTGGTTATTAGGCAACAAGGAAGTGGACTCATCATGACTAGAATTATTGCTTTCGTAAGGCGGAGGCTTCAGCGAATCAACAATCCCAAAGCCGATAAGGCAACAGGTTCCGGACAGTATCCCGGGCAGGACGCGACTTTGATCAGTGAGGATAGAGGCAAAGAATGGACCGAGAGCCTGAGCCAAGACTGAGGTAGCTCCTGTCCAATAGTAACTTGTGAAACTGAGATCCCATTAGTATAAAGTCATGATTATCAGGGTGTCAAGTATCAGGGACCAGACCGATGATGAGGGGGATTCTGATCATGGAGTATGGCGAGTACGAGAAATGATGAGGCATGAGACCCTCCTCCGATACATGTTACTAGAGGGCCGACAATGGCAACCAAGACAGGCCATTGCTGTTCGTAAAATACTGTTACTATTAGTTTCGATTTTATGGGAATTGTATGCTCGATACTCGCATACAGCTTAACAATGTGACGAGACTAGCGACAAGGATACTCGTGGTGTTAATGTTCATAGCATGATGCCTAGACTTAGTGTTGAGAAAATAGCCAATCACAGATTGGCCTATAATATCTGTGCTGTGAGTCAGTAATAAAGCGATATTTAGGTTATGATCGAAAGTCTCGCTAGACAAGAAGCGCCGACATACCAGATACGCCTTTGAGAATAAGAGCCGCAGTGGCGAGATTCCAGCGACCCGACCGAGTGGGGAGAAGGCTGTCAGTCACGGAGTCGGCGAGGGTCATGAGACCCAAGTAGACCAGTGCCAAGTAGGCGAATTTCGACTGCATCATGTTAACGGCAGGGGGCTAGCAAGACGTGGAATTGATTGCAAGGCATTCTTGTATATTTACCGGGCGAAAGCCCTAGCATAAGAGGAAGTCTATCGGCAAATGGACTCGGAAATGCGGTAGGTTCGAGGCCACCCTTGCTTCAGAACATGCACCGTCGGGAAAGACATGCTCGGAATGGATGTCACCACCAGGATACCAGCTGCAAAATGAATGGAGTATTACGTTGGCCCATGTCACATTGAGATATGCAACGTGACTGGAGTAAGCGAATCAGAAGAGCAAGTGGTAAATCAGGCTCTACTATTTGTACGCCCGAACCTGAATTTCCGCAACTCTGTTATTGATGGCCTCGATCATATAGATTCGAGAAAAACAGAAAGACAATCGGAAAACATTAGAATATTCAGAATTTCATACTTTCCGACGCTAAGAGAAACACAAGTTTGACCGGGCGATGAGGATGAAGAGGAATGAAGTATAAGGAGAGCTGAGTAGCTGGCTCCCTTGCTAGAAAGAAGCAATAATCTGAAACATTTCTTAATCACCAACGCAAATTCTTGTACCTAACCTACTACTATCCTGTACCGTTCACTTGATTCTTCACAGAAATGAATGAGAAGATGAAACGTGTCAACAAACAGGTCAGCAGCACTCACCCGTTTGTGCAACCAGTCTCGCTGACCATTGCAGCCTACCACAAAGAACTCGAATGAGGAGATAAAACACGTCGCGTTACACAGCTTGAAGGTGCTCACGGGAAAAGATACCTCAATCGAAATGTGGCTCCGAAACTGCGACGATCCTTTTCCCTATGGCCGACGCGCAAGCACAGATGACAGCATTGTGAAAGTCAGGCTGTGACGCTGTGACGCTGTGACGTTGTCTCACAGCCACCAACTGACAGCTGAGGTGTTGAGACCATCTCACATATAGAATGAGAAGAGTCATTTTGTGCTGAAAAATGTTGCGTTGGGCTTGAATTAATTGCGAAAAGATACCCGGATGAAGACGTCAAGATATATGTTACTGTACGTGTAAGTGCCCATTGCGAATTCTGCCTTGCTCCTGAGCTAAGATCAGTTACCCGTAGTATCCACCTGGTAGCGTCACAGATTTACAGGGAGTACCTATGTACATGTACCCCGTAGATGCCTGCTGATTACGGCTGGATGGACGAATCGTGGGCGGCCGCCGGCTTAGCGAAGATGGTTATTGCGGGACGGTATATAACATCACAGGTTTTTTTCTGTATTTGCTTCAAGTGTTTATATATAGCTTTCTAGTTGAGATACTCATAAATATAGCGTCGTATCTTGGTCTAACCTAAAATCAATCTCTTGGTGTAGTAATAGTTCAAGCTCTCGATATCGTCCCTTCGAAACTCGCTCAGGGCATATAACTCTCTCCCGTAGTCTGTTGTATGATTAGTGATTGTCAGTTGAAATCCTAGGAGAATTTTACTTACTGGACTGGGGGTTCTGTAGGTCTTTTTGTATGCCCTCAATCAGCGACCGAGCATATGAACTCTCACCCAGGAGGCCTTGGTTTGAAGATTTTGTCCAGTCTATGCCAAACGGCGCATGCCCATTCGTCACAATACGGAAATATGTCGTCAATGTATCTGCGATATGTTTGTTCTGACCATAGTAATCACACGGGTCTCTTCTCAAAGGCCAACGAGTTCCACCATCACGATTCTTCTCATACTCCCAGGCGTGCATGTTCCACGAGTCTTTCTCGAGGCTATGTAAGAGTGTAAAGGTTGTTAAGAAAATGGCACACCAGTACGTGCCTCGGTCACGGCGGAGGATCATATTTTGAAGTTGTTCAAGGATCTCTCGTTCAAGTTCATCCATACGGGTTTCGAAAGCCTTGTCGAGTTGTTGGTTGACAAGCCGCGGGAGTAGTGTCTTTCCAAACCAACATCCAGGGATATCCAGCGGAGACATGCCTATCTCTGAAGCACCTTTCACTATCGTCCAAGGATACTTGAAAAATACAGCCTGCATGGCCCAGAACCGTAGCGCAAGCTGTACCAAGCCGATCTACATGCCGAGTTAGTTTGAGTTGTGCACCCGAAGAGTCATTCAAGGCAAGATGACAAACGACCCAGTTACATACCCCTTCTATCCTCGGCACTTCCTGAAGTCCTGCACATTGTGTCGTAGCAAACATAAGAATATGACTCGCAAGCCTATTCCTGTCCGTTGCCTTCCTTCCTTCATTCAGTGCTAGGTCGAATGCAAGGCTATCGCAATAGGCATCGATCTTCTCCGGTGTTAAAGTGCCATTTTCCAGAGAAAATGCCGTGCTCTCAGCCTTCGGAGTAATCATGCCAGCTTCAGTCCCACGGAATAGCACGTGAGTGAGAGCATCTTGGCTGAAAGGGACGTACGGCCTTAATGACACTTGCATTGTCGGTGTAAACCCGTTTGAGATTTCAATATTTACTGCATTACAACTTTTTACCGGGAGCCATTCAGCGACGTTATCGAGTAAAGATTGGATCCGTGTTTGGTACAAGCCTACAATATCTTGGCACTGAGCTTTCTGCTGGACTTGATGACATACTGTGAAGGAGAGTCCGCGACCCTTTAAAATCTGCGGGAATGCAGAGATGTCGATACAAGGGTGACACATCACAAGACTCGCAAGCCTTAGCGTTACCAGAGCACTTTGACGCTTGTGAGCTCTCTCGTTGATTTTGAAGATTCCTAACTCACTCTTCTCTTCTGAATCTTGCAACGAGCGCAACTAGGCCGTTGACTCGGTCTTCCACGCTTAGATCGCTGACTAGGTAGTTTTGTCACATCAATTTGCATCAAACGATCAGCTTGAGTTATGGAACGCTTGGATAAAGGTCTGAAGTTTCTCTGGGGCCAAGAATCGTCGTGCCGTGCTTGAGGAATCGCGAGTCTTTGTCCGGCCTGTTTGGCCGCCGTACCACGACGTCTAGGAACAGGAGTGGTTGTGATAGTGCGTGTGCTACCTGTCGTAGAAGAGTCAACAGAATTTCCATCGGGCCACGGCTCTTGTAAGGATGGACTATTGGTTGGCAGAGTAATCGTTCCGGAGGAGGGGCTTGGAATGGGCATCTGCCACAGTGAGAAGGGACCATCATCATAAATGGTACGTTCTAATTCTGGTACGGCCAGGCTTTGAACATTTTCGAAGCCAGGAGGCTGTTCATTCTGGAAGAACGCATCCAAGTCTGTCATCAATGGGACATCGTGGTCCATAGAGCCGGCATTTCCAAGAGAGAGAAGCGAAGTTTCAGCGGCAGAAATAAAATTCTAGCAATGAGTTAGTTTTCTGTTAATTAAAACTAACTGGTACATACATTAGAAGTGTGAAAGCCTTGGTCCTCTTGTGCTATCAAGCTACTTGTAAGTCCGTCAAGCTTGGACCTTGCTAGACTCTGGATGGCTTCCCAGGCAAGGCTCTTGTCAACACCAGAGCCTCCGTGTCTTGTTAAAATCGATGCAACAGTTTCTTCAATGGCGCTTCCCAATTCAGCAGCGAAGTGGACGTGGCCTCGACGGAAATCGCCATTCGCGTGGCTAGATGGCTCAGATCCATCGTATACGTCATTCGCAGATCGAGCATCCCCATCGGGAACGGAGAGAATACTACGGTTGGGTGAATAGGGATGTGACATGGCGAATTGATGGTAAGTGTGAATGAGGAGATTGTGTGACGGTTAGACAAAGGCTATGAAACTGCCTGAGAACGCTTTACACATGGTACGGTTGGTAGCACTCAACTGCGGTCGCAAACTCCTCGGCGATTTCTTGCAACATTCTTTTTGCAATGTGATGCTTCTCAATTCATTGATGTCCGAGAGAAGACGGAGGGCGCGTCAGCGTTAGGTCGGACGACCTACGGAGGCTGCTCACTCGCAGAACATGATTGAAAAGGAGCACATCCTCCGTCTAGGAGAGAGATTAACGGCAAGTATGTCTCAGGGCGACCTATTGCATGCGATATGGCTTTTGCACATTGAACAAGTCCGTTAGGGTCCTGCAAGAAGCCGAAATAAGCAATATGATCTTTTGGTGGGTTACACAAGCCAGGATGGAATCATATTACCTTTCTAGAGTGTCAGCCCAGTTTCAAGGACCAGAGAAGGCCTAGAAAATCGAAAGCTCCTATCTTATATATGTTTTATTTAAGGTTTGAGCTCCATGCTAAAACGTCCTAGCAAAGGGACTAAACCATGCAGAAACGACAAACATCTAAACCCCAAACAATAATGATGCCGGCGTGCATATGTTGCCCGCTCTGAAACAAGGCTGCACAAAGCCACTCAGCAAAGACTGACGCGCGCATATCGTCTACAGTCGGTGTGCAGGGGGGCGCTGCACGGATCAGCCTAGAATCAGGATAAATGGTGTGCCCATCACTCCATCATTCTTTTGTACATGTACCCGGTGACCCAAGTTCATCTATCTTAAGTAACAAAAAGACTTAGGTAACTTTGGCAGATCTTAGTAGGCCCTTGGACTAGTTTATTTTGGCACTCTGGTTTGATATCAGAAGCTTTCGTGCTCCCCGAGGATAAGATGCATGTATGATGCATAAATCGATCTTAGAGCCCCATGACCCGAGGTAAAGCGGACAAGTCACATCCATCTCCGACCACTTTCCCGGTCCCGGATACAATACATATTTAAAATTGAGGCTCCGCATGGAGCTTGATGTCATACAGGTCATGGGGAGGGTAGGCCTCAAGTTAGGCATCGGAGATAACTGACGGATATGAATGGTCGCGTTACAGCACATAACCCGCAAATTATTGATGAACGGCGGGGTTATCAACAGAGTTGGATGCTCAAAGTGCTGGTGTACTGAAAGACTGTACATAGCTTACAATGAATGGATGCAACGAAAGTTCAGGCTGAGAGCCTCATTCTATGAGGCCATAAAATATGATGTATCGAGGCCCTCGTTCTGACGCCATCGGAAAGTCTCGACATTAGCTTAACCAAATCAACAACTAACTTCAGGGTCCCCAATAGTATCCACGTTTTCTATTTGCACAATAGCTTAACAACATGTGGCACATCGACGTATTCAACAGCTTGTCCACACTGAGCGAGTCAAACAAACTTCTCAGTGAACGTTTGGCCAAGCTTGAAGACAGGGCTGACCTGGCAGAACTGAGGTGAGGCCCCCCAGTTTCCGTTTGCCAGACCTTCCTTCTCATGATCTATACAGAGATATCTTTCAACATTTTGGGGTCACTGACACGGTTGGCCTGGCCCTACTTCACAAACACTTCTCCATTGAAGAAGGTGAACGTGTTGTGGAATTCGGCCACGTTTCAACCCCATGGCCTGTCCCTCCAGATGGTAGAATGGCTGGAGGCTACCTAGTTCCACGGTCCTGGAGGTTTTGGGATGATATGCTGGAGCCATATGAGTTTGGCTTCAATCATCCTGGCCAAGAAGAGTACAAGGACGTCCCCCTGCCCGCTGGATTTGTAGAACGGCTGCGTGCCTTTTTGGCTGAGACAAATCTCTTGGATGTCTTGGGCATCTGTGTCATTGGTGAAGATGAAATTGTCGGCCGCATCGAGAAGAATCGAGGTCGTGTCAACTTCACTGTACCTGCCTCTAGGCCTGAGGACCTTAGCGTTGACCTCACCCCGACCCATAGTCCGTCTGTCTGGTCGTTCGATTGCAAGAGTGGTCTGAATGATGCCACAATCAAACTTGCGCGGGCTTGTTGGGTCTGTCCAAAGCATTATTAAGGGTCGTCCCTTGCATCCGATGTCAGAGACAGGTATTATGAGAAACGTGAATGTAACTAGTGAAGATAGTCAAAAAATATCCATGCGACCTCGACGTGATATTCAATTTAATGCATGGGTGTTTAATATTCACGTAGATATGTCTTAAGGCTTGCAACCTCTTCTCGCGACTCGCCCGCTGTCTCCGTCACCATGTCAAATCCTCGACGCAAGCCATACAAGGAGTCCAAGTACGAGAAAATACGATAGCTGGGACTATGTTAGCTGGCCACGAGTTAGTTACATACTAGCTCGATGTAACTTACTGCCGAAACCAAGAAAGGAAGCCCAATATTGTAGTTGATGCCCAAAGAATAGGCAGCTCCCATGATGGGCATGCCAACGAGGCTACCAATAGTCCCTGTCATAGAGATACCCGCGAATAAACGCCCCGAAAAAGCATTTTGCACGTTTGAAGCAAGGAAAGATCGTAACGTAACGGTCATGCTTGATCCCAGAACCGATAGTCCAAATCCAAAAGCAACCGTCGCAAGGTTTGGTGCGGCTGCGACAATGAGAGTGCCCAATGTACAACAAAAAGCACCTGATGCAGAAAGTGCAAGATCTCTGTTTGCACTTTGCCAAGTCTGGTCTATCCAAGAAGTGGCAAGCGGCAAGATAACAAAGTATAGAAGAGATGACATGATTGCTCGTAGAGAGAATAGGAGTCCGGCCTGTGACATGGTCAGTTGATAACATTATGGTTGAGTGAGCCAGCATACCCGGGCCATGGTCTCTCCAAAGCGTAAAGACACCCAAGGTATCAAATAGTTGGTGGAGTCCCTTGCTACCTGGAAGAAAAAGAAGCAGATAAAGCATATGCTGAATATGACGGCTCTTGGAGGGAGCAGGTCCCTGGCGGTGTGTTCTAAGTCAGTCTCCTCACGATCCGAAGTGCTGTCGACACTGAGAAGTGACTCGGTCTCAGCTAGTGATGACCGAACACCCTCCATGTCGCTCACTGTGTTCTCGCGAAGATGGCTCGCTGGAATGAACATCAAAGAGAAAACCACGAGTGCGAGAGCGAACGGAATCCCGAGATGAATGGTCATCGTCATTGTGCCAATAATTGGCCCGAGGAGGTCCGCAATTCCTGATATCGCCTCCATGATCGAGAACGCCGTTGTTCTAAAGTATTCATGTCAGTTCCGTGATTTGGAATGATTAGAGTTGGGGCATGCCTTTGTTCTGGCTTGACACTGTCGCTAATGGCGGCGAAAACAAGTGTACCAGCCGCCCATGGTCCACCTCCTAAGAGTATGAACATTGGTGAGAGATAGAAGCCCCAGAGTGGAAAGTGTTGCTGCGATCCTATCAAGATGAGTAGGCCTACTCTAAGTGCGATGCGGGACGCCATACCTACGATTGCTATGCATCCCCAGTAGAAGATAGTACTAGTCGCATTCAGCATAAAAGCAAGACGAATACCGCCTTTGTCCCCAATCATTCCCATTGGTATTTGCATCATCGTCGCTTTCCACAGTCAGCCTTTGCCTTGGATGGCTGTTGTGATTTTGCATACCAGCCAATGTCGACAGTGTTGACAGCACAGTTATTACGAATGCGAAATGCACTTGTACCTCCTTGCTCCTGCAAAACTCATCAGTCGGCTCTCCATTAAGAAGTTGTCTGTCTTTCTCAAAATGACGCCGACAGACGGCTGTCTCTAGAAGCATTGGCGAAGGAGCAGCAAGGATTGCACAACCAAGCTCCACGAGAAATAACAGAAGCGTGCAGAGCCAGAAGTTCACATGATACTGTCGAAAGCCCTTGATGTAGTCCATTGCCGAAGTCAGCACTATATGTATGCGGCGATGGTCTATGCCTTTTGTAGGCATCTTGTGATGATGAAACTGTGTTTCGATGTTTTTGACATCCAGTAGCCAGGCAAGGCGACAGCGAGAATTTTGTCGTCAGGTTGCGAGGGGAACCGCCTTTTTGAGGAACCTGCATGGTTATTAGGGCTGACCGTTATTATGATCAGCGACGAATCACACCCGGACAGTGATAATCTGAAGCATATGCATGAATGCATTCAGGCTGTGAGCCTACGGCGGACATGGATTGACTCCCATCCAGGCTGTAGGACAGAGGGCAGATCTCAGGGAGCGAGAAAATTTCTGACAGGGCATTAAGGTGCTGTAAAAGATTAGCCTAAAGGTCTATTAATTTTATACTGAATTTACCTAAATTTATGCCTTACTTACCTACGTCTTTTATCTCTTGGGATAGATAAGAGACAGATGTTTTCTTATATCCTTACGTAGTTTCGAGTATCAGGATATCTCGGTCCCCAGCGAAGTCCTCATGAGGCATTGTAATAAGACTGCATAAAGGATTTTAGTATCCAGTTTTTATAATGAGCAGCAGCCCGTCTCCTTGTGTCAAAGGTAACAGCGCTGCATCGGGGCCTAACGGGCATTTGTTGTTTGATAATATCCTGTCGCCTGACGTCAGGGTCATTCACGGTGCAAGTTTAATGTTGTGAATAAATTACAAATCCGAGCATTGTGCATCACCGTGATGTAAGTTAGTGAATCATAATAGTGTGTCGTAACGCATAACGCTGTTATATTGATGTTTATAAAGATGAATACACCTTCATCGCTTGGATAAGTATGTATCCGGTGCCCATCAGCACTGCCCCAATGATTGCCACCGCCCCAACCCAGCCCGTGTAGAGTGCCGTCTCCACCCCCCACGGCTCGCGACTCCCGCTGCCAGGGAGCGTCGAGGCCGGTAGTTGCCAGCCGACGGTGCTCCTCCGAGGTGCTCCCGCTGGGCTACTAGATCGGTCAGGATAGTTAGCATCTCATTGGATTAAACGGTAAACGATGACTTATGGAAGAAAGAGTCGACTTACAGAGGGTCGTGCACCTCCGGAGGACGCGCCGTGGCGTCGGCGGCCTGACCCTGGCCGGCGGAAGGAGCCGCATCTTGGGGAGGGTGAGAGCTTGACTGTGGGTTGGGGCGGGCTTGGGGCGGCTGTGAGCACCGGAGAGCGAATGTGATATGGTAAATTAAACTATAAAAGTTAGCACAGTGAATCATAGTGGTGAGTTGTTGATTATTGTGGTAATCTGTGAATCAGAGAGTACACATACAGTTTTGCCATGGTGATGTTTTTGAAGATGGGAAAAGGAAAAGTAAGAGATAAACCGGCGAGCCAGAAGTTAAGTATATTGAAGTCTATCAAAACAAGCAAGTGCGTCCTTTCCAGTTCATGGAGCTCGACAGTTCATTTAGAGCAGGTCAAGCATTTCGACTTCCTCGATTCTCTCCTTCGTCTTTTCCCTTTCTCCTTCCATTCCTTGAATGACATGTTCATTGCGAGGCCACGGCCATAAGCCTTTCAAGGGAGTGTCATCTAAAATGAAGTTTGCGTTGACCTCAGGGTTATTTATCATAAAAGAGTATACCCAGCATTCCGTCTTAGAAGCATCCAATGCATAAGAGCGACATACTTTGTCAGCTGAGAGATGCTCAACACGGAAGTTGGTTGCAATATGGCAACTAAGTGTCGTGACCACCAAATTCCCTTTCCAATTAGGGCCGGCAAGAGCAAAATGACGATCATAGTAGTACGTCTGGTGCTCCTGCTGGTAGGGACGTACGGTCATGCAACTCTCCTGCACAATAACGTTTTCCTGAGACACGTACAGCCCTTCCCTCATCAAACCGATGATATCTTTCGTGGAAAGCTCGAGGTGGGCTTGCCAGCCGATGTCCAGTTTCACCTGCGGGATTGCGTCTCTCAACAAGTCTGGGTCAGATCCAAACAAGAGTGTCACTTTCCATGACTTGGTTGCTGTGACTTCTTGGTAGGAAGGAGGAAAAGCTCGGCTTATGAAGTCGAAAAGGCCCATCTCGCCTGCTGTCGGTTCAAGTTTTGGTGAAATTGGTGGTCAAACTTGGGTGAAAAGGAGCCTCTGGTGATAAAGTGGGGGAGAGTTATCTAGTGGAAAAAGGAATACCTTATGCTCTTATATACTCATGCGCAGTCAAATTTTAGCATAGAGTTTGTCGAAGTATTTCCATGGTATTGTTATTTGCAGTTGAGAGTGAGAGCTTATATCAACACACAGAACTTAGCATGGTACTGCTCTGACATTACAAAAGTTTTCAACATTACAGTTTATGGCACTGTGCCACAAACGTTATTCAAGGATCACGAGCGTGGAAGAGTTGTCACTTTTCTATTATGTTTCTTAATATATGCCTGTTGATGAGACCAAACGATGAGTCCTCCTTATCATTGCCTAGACATCTCTTACTAGAAAGCAGAACAAGTTTACCAATGTGATAAAAGCGCGCCTTTCGAATTCGATGATCTTATAACATGTACTTTCTGGGTATATACTTTGGATTTGTACGTCAAATCTACTAGCCATTCATTATCACATCTTGTACTTAGGTTGTTGCAGTTATATCTAGAGCCGCCAATACTCGCTGTAAGGCAATCTGCCATACTACCAAGCTGATGAGCTTCATGTAAGTCTACAGATCAAGTACGCAGTGCTTGTGTTACTAGATACTAAATACCGGACTTTTTATTCGCTTTGTAACATGCCGGTTATCGAAAAAAAGATCAACATACCAATAAACGCAACCGGATTCCATGAGTTAATGGGGTAATATTAATAAAGAAAAATATCTAAATGTGGATCAAAATAATGTTTTCTCTGCCATGATTTCTTTGGTCAAAATGGTTAGCCTCCGTGCATGCTAGCCGTGGAAGATCATTGATGCAACAACGTTACTTTTTCGTTGAGTCATAAAGTGAGAACTATGTGTAAAGTTTCGGGATTAGACTCACGGCTGAAACTCTTTCTGAGAAGCTTGTCTTGGTATCTAACCATCCATCGGAAAGCTCAAAACACTAAATAAACTTGTTCCACTAAACACGTATAATAAATATCAGCTCGATCGCGCTCCTATACTCATTTCCATTTGCCATGTTCACCATTTATAATCCTCTTTTCTCCCGAAACATCACTACCTTACAAAAGTAGGGTTTGAAAATGTCCTCCCTCATTAAGACAAGGGTTCTTATCCTGTCAGATACTCACGGATTACGCTTCGAGGAAGATAAGAAACCGCTCGCACCAGTCGACCTTGTCATACATTGCGGTGACCTCACGGAAGATTCTAAACTGGAAGGCTTTCGAGAAACGATTCAACTTCTCAAGGAAGTCGATGCCCCCATCAAGATTGTCATTGCAGGAAATCATGACTTCTCTCTTGACGATGGCGTCTTCAAAAATAAGATAGCAGAAGCAAGCAGAGTTGCACAAGAGGACCTCGAGCAAAGTATCAAGGATGAGTACGGATACTACGGTGAGGCTAAGAGGCTGCTCATTGAGGGAGACCATGGTATCATGTTCCTCAACGAAGGAACGCATGAGATTCGCCTCCAGAATGGCGCCTTGATGAAGGTTTATACCAGTCCATATACTCCTGCTACAGCCGGCAGCACGGATTGGGGCTTCCAGTACAATGGGGCCCATGAGTTTGCTATTCCAAAAGGGATTGACATGGTGGTGACACATGGCCCGCCGCACGGCATAATGGATATGACGCCACAAAGGCAACGAATCGGTTGCCCTCAACTATTCTCTGCCATTGCAAAATCACAGCCCCGAATTCACTGTTTCGGACATGTCCACAACAGTTGGGGCGCAAAGATCGTTTATTGGCGACCACAGATTTCAGAACACCCATCCCATTTCAGCGACATAGACAATGCAAAGTCACGAGTTGTGGAGAGTCTGCCACGCTTGCAAGGGACCAAGCGGGAGTCTCCTGAAGACATGAAAGTTCGTCAAGACAGATTAGAGCGATATGGGTCTCAAAGATGTTGTGTCGCCAGTTACTGCCAGGGCGATGAAGAGCAACTGGCCCCCGGGGAGACCTTGTTCGTCAATGCGGCACTTATGGGAAGCAAGGGACTCACGCAGTATCCGTGGCTTGTAGATATTGAGCTTGAGCGTCATCTAGGCGATGGAAGCTCTACAGATGGCAACTCAACTCAAGATTCTGTAACAATGCCGGATGACGATCACAAGACCCAGCAGCGAAAGTACGGCGTGGCTCTCAATGTAGGTGGGAAAGGTATGAGAGCAAAACTCGATTTGAATGATGATTCCAAGAAAGAACTCTCGTAGAAGAGCGTCAAGGACTTCTTTAATTCTTTGGAAACTGAATATGAATACCAACTATGGACATGGCATCAAATCTTTACTATGACAGGAAGAACGAAGCAGTGGGTTTGATGATTGATAGCGGTACTGTATGAAGGGGCTCCCATTGCCAGTTCTAGAGCCAGTGGATTTGTTCAAGCTCAGGAACGCCCGTTGCGGCCCATGAATTTACCGCTGTCTGAAATGGCACAGAAGTCAAGGCCAGGGGAATAATTCATGTACCCACAGCCAACCGTATCAAACCCGATGGAAGACGGTACCAATGTTCCTGGCACATACCAGCCACATGTATCTGTGACCTGCACAAGGAGATCGGCGTATTGGGAAGAAGTCATCAGATATTGACCGTCAGTACAGCAGAATCCAACCTATTCAGGTGTATGTAGTAGGAATAGGATATGCAATTGCCTACTTGAGTACAAATGTGTCCAACGGAGATTGAAAACAACTTACCACGTCCCCCCAAATAGAATACCAAGCTTGAGTGACCTCACCCACGCCGTTATCCGATCTGTCAAATTGTGCTTTAAGCATATCGACTGCTGTATAGCAATTTCCATGGTTCATAGAGAGACCAGAGTTTTCAAGAAGTTAATTTATTATGCACTTGAAGATGATGAGGATTGATGCCAATGTTTATACATACCCACATCCACAGAACATCTCCGGATCACTCCGTTCCTATCCACCTTCATCCCTCCACTGGCGAGCTTTCAGGTGAAATGAAGGTGCCCTCGGAGTCACGGTGGTAGTGTGGTCAACTGTCAGTCCATCATAGACTCCAACCCCTTGATCATTCACACGTACACTATATACACCATTAGGAGATTTCTCTGGCATCGTGAATCCCGCGCAAACAACAACCGACTGCAGAGCAAGGATGGGGATTGTGGATTTCATGATGACCATATATGTTGTGTGTAGGGGGTTTTGGTAATGCAAGAATCTGAGACTGGAAGTGGTGAGTGACAGGAGTTCAATATCCATGAGTGACAAACTGAAGCCTTTTATATTGCTTTTTGTTGTTCTTGAAGAATAATATCGAAGAGACACAGTGATGTGTTACCAAGCTGAGATTAGAGCTGTAGAATTGTGCCTCATGACTCCCATTTCGTCTGAGATCGAAAGACAAAAGATCTCGGCAGCTTCTAACCTTGTCATTTCAATGCGTAGAGTGTCATGCCGTCTTATCCGCTTCGTGTCAAGGGCCAATGATACAAAATATCCATGTGATGGGATTGGCGGAAGCAAACCCGCAATAGCCGCTAGCCAGCTCAAGGGTCAAAAGGTCCTTCAACATGCGGCTGAATGCTCTTCATACAGCATCTATCTAGCCTCAACGCCTATGTAGCGGCCGCCGGTCAGTAATTCAACATACATCCATGTCATTACAGATCAATGGTGAGTCGGGCTCAGTCGGTTGAATACTAGCTTGCGGCATAGTATTCCTTCGCGTCACAAAATTGCCTCGATAAACCAGGGAATCATCAAAGTCTAAGATATTCACATCTATGATACTGATACTAATTACAGTTAAATCTCGTCACTAATCTCTCATTCTAGATTGAGGCTGGGATCAATGTCACATGGGAGCAAGCTCGGGGTGCGTGAAGTGTAAGTGGCATTGGCAGTCTCCTCGACAAGATTATCAATTTTCAGACTATAATCTGATCAAGTTATTCCATCTGTGATAGCGGTTTGCTATACTATACCAGAATTAGCTGTTAGTATCTTACTCTTGATATCCAAATGGACACTAGTTGACTGGTTCCCATTCCGCTTCAGCCCAAGGCCTTCCACCGGTATCCTTTGCCAACTGCGACATAGACATCCAAGTCGATAGGCCTCCAGTTACCTGGACTATATCATTTTGATTACCTATCCCATCACTCGAGTGCTGAATTTTGCCCTCGCC